TGCAGAAGAAGAATGAAGAGCATGAAACATGTTGGGAACTATAAGTGTGTTCCATCCCCTGTACAAGGAAAAAAAAGAGAGGTCATTGATCATATGTCTGCTACTAAGGGACATTTTAAAGTTTTTAGTAGATGAGCCAAGTTGAAAGGTTATTGTTAAAAACAGTAATAAAGGTTATCACAGGGAAAGCCAAGCCAATCTGTTATGTTAAGGTTATAATCAGGAAATAACAGTTAAATCCTCATCATGCAATATGACTTATTTTGCTGAAAATATACAAAAGATAAATTGGTATTCTCTTCAAATGAGTATTTATACTTTGACAACATCTATTTTTTCATAGTTAGTCTAATTTCGTCGTATATTCATTTCATTTCAAAACACATGTATAAGCCTGGGCATGCTGGCTGGTGCGTATCTGTAGTCCCAGCTACTTGAGACCCACAAAGGCAGGCACTATATATATATATAATTTACCCTAAGTAAATGACCAGTGGGGGGCTAAGGGAGTTTTTCTCAGACCAGAGCCATGATCAGTGAGTGCTGCAGTATGTGCCCAAAAAATATCTGCCAGCTCCTGGAAGCCGAGAGCCTGGGTTTGATACAAAGGCAGTGAATGTAGGGCATACAAGATAAAAGACTAAGGCTCAGGAAAATAGGAAGACATGTAGGGCAAGGCACATGATACTCTAAGGACTCCCAAGACCACACTCACACTGGTCTGGTGCCAAAGTACTTGCTGTGTATGTGGCTTTAAAAATAAGACAGAAAGTCAAAGTGGATTGATAGTGGACACAGCAGAACCTCATGAAAGAACTTTCTTTAAACCAAGGCCTGTGACATTCCCAACAGATAGTCCCAAGGACTTGAGCTTGTAATATAAGTAATATGTGTAATATACATAAGATAAGTAATATATGTAATATAAGTGGGCATATACAGAAGCAAATTACTGAGTCAACAAATGCAAGTTACGGATACTATCCAAGATTGTTCTGAAATCAAAGATATCAGAATTACTATGAAGAATGTAAAATTGTAAAATAAGGAGATTGAAAATATACAAGATGAAGAGAATAAAAATTAAGCATGCAGGTTTGAAAAACAACCAAAAAGACCGATAAATGATACATATTTATTTAGTAACTTAAATTTTAAAATGTAACAGATTAAGTAGAAGTAAAAGCAAGGATTGAAACTGAAGGTTGACCTAAAGAGACCAAGGAAATGCAGAAGAGAGGTGAAGAGATGGAAGGATAGAATGAAAAGATGTATTTTACATTTAATCAGAATCTCACAAAAAGATAGGGCAGAGAGTGAAAACATTCCAAAATTGGTGAATTAAATAAATCCTCAGATTTAGGAAGCCAACAAAATAAGTTTTATGTTTATTATTAACATTTTGGTTTTTTTGGTACCAGGGATTGAACTTGTGTCTTTGTGCTTTCGAGGCAGGCAGCGGAACCACTGAGCCAAATCCCTGGCCTTTTTGTTTTTTGAGACACATTTTACTTTGTAGTTCAGTCTGGCTTTGAACTCACTGTGTAGCCTGGGCCAGCCTTGAACTCATGGTGATTCTCTCGTCTTAGCCTGAGCACTGGGATTGCAGATGTGTGCCACTATGCCTGGAAACTCATCTAATTTAAGAAGAAATCCCCTACTAGATATGTGATAGTGGAACTGTATAATATTGAAGATTTGGAGAAGAAAAAAGCAGTTGAAGAGAAAAGACAGATAACCCAGAAGAAATGGCAAATAGATGGCTTATCATTTAACAGCAGAAGTAGAAGTCAGAGATAATGTAATGATATCAAAGTGATAAGTAAGAAAGTCATCAATGTAGATGTCATTATTTAGGAAAACAATTACTCAGAAATTAATTTAAGAAAAGATATTTCCAAATTATTCCATCTCACACCAGAAAGAATGGCCATCATCAAGAAATCAAATAATATGCTGGTGAGGCTGCAGGGAAAAAGAACCCTACTACATTTCTGGTGGGAGCGTAAACTGGTAGAACCACCGTGGAAATCAGTACGGGGATTCCTCAAAACACTAAAACTAGAAATTCTATTTGACCCAGCTTCTTAAAATGGTTAAAGGCATTGCATTACAATGATCCATGCATACCTGTGTTTCTAGCAGCAGAATTCATAATAGCTAAGTCCTAGAGGTGACCTCTGTGTCACTTCAGTGACTAGCTAAAGAAAATGTGGCATTTACACTCACTGCAGTACTACTCTGTCATAAAGAAAGATGAACTTACTTCATCTCTAGGAAGATGGATGCACTGTGAGACCATAATGTTAACTGAAATAATCAGCCTAACTAGCGTAGGGGTGGCATGATTTCTCTTATATGAGAAACCCAAAATATAAGTGAAGAGCAAAAAAGATAGAAAATAGCAAATACGGAAAAACAGCTTTTGAAAATGGGGAGGGAAAAATGAGGAAGGGGGAGGAAAAAAATGAGAAATGGCTAGAAAAAATTAAGATGTGTTATGTACATATACCAACTCCCCCCAAGGATTGTAATTATTATGTACTGCAAACAAATACTAATAAACAAAATGAAAATGTAAAAAGAAACAAAAAGATACAGTGGATACTTTTAAAAAATATATATGTAATATATAAAATATAATCTATAAGATACAGAAATATATATTTTTTTGGTACTGGGGATTAAACTCAGGACCTCACTCTTGTCAGGCAGGCGCTGTGCTTCTGAGCCAAATCCTGAAAATACATTTTTATCTATGGAAATTTTCTCTCTGAAAATATTTTCCTAAGAATTTGATGGAAAGCTTGCTTACAGTGTTACTGTATCTTTATCTAAGTGTTATAATGAAGTGAGGTGGTAGTCTCGAATTAGTTAAAATCCAATATTGGTTAAAAATCTAAGGACATGGTTCTCAGCTAGGGCTAAAATCTGAAACAGTTCATTTGAAGAGGTTATATGAAAACTATGCATTTGGACTACTCCATTGGGTTTTATTAAACCACCCAGTTATTTTGTTTATTTGTTAATTATGGACATACGATAACTACAGGACTTTAACTCTTAGAGACTTGAATAGAATTAATTTTGTGTGGAATAGGAATGATTTGAATTTATAATTTGCTGTTTCTGTTAATTTTTAACAGAAGTAGAAGTTTATATTACTATGATACATTTGATAAATTCCTATGGTGAAGACTTAGAAACCCTGTCTGTTAAAGTCATAGGCAGATTTCTTGGCTGACTGTATCTTGAATAAAAATGTTTATATATTCAGAATTACTTTTTTTCAACTAATGAAATCACTCTCTGGTTAGTTTGCAATTTATGATTTTATGTATAAGGTACAAGATTTAGTGAGCTAAAGTGTTTGAGTTTGAGAATACAGTATTTCTGTTATTATGGTTATGTTGGTTTGATGGACTTTGACAGCCCCTGAAATTCGCTTTAAATTTATAGTTTCTTCTGTATAACTTATTGAAGCCCAACTGTAAAGTGTTAGAACTATACCTAATTGAAAATAGGATTTTTAGCCCTTCATTCTTTGTTCCAAACAGTAAGGTTAAAAATCGATTCACTTATTTTTGTTTCACATAGATTAAAGCCAGAATAATTGTAAAGATTAATTATATAATTCCTGGGTGGCACAGGAATTACAAGTTCTCTTTTTTTTTTTTTTTTCTGTGGTACTGGGGATTGAACTCGGGCCTTGCATATGTTAGGCAGGTGCTCTATCATTGAGCTACATACCCAGTCCTTTTAAAATTTGAGAGAGGGTCTATAAGATGCCAAGACTGGCCTTAAACCTGTGATCTTCCTGCCTCAGCCTCCGTAGTACCTGGAGAAGATTCTCAGAATGTACTACAAAAAATACAATCAAAATTCTTGGTAGAAAAAACAAATTCTCGGTAGAGTCATCATCACTATATACTTAATAAGGACCAGGAATTTAACTCAGTGTTTCCACCACCTGCCTTGCAAGCGCAAGGTCTGGAGTTTGATCCCCAGTATTAAAAAAAAAAAGTTACTATATACTTAATAATCTTTATTTTCTCATCCACGCTTGGCTGCCAAACCTCCACATGACTTTCTAGTACGTGTTTTAGGGTGCCTTTTCTCTTCTCTAAATCCAGGCAACCAACATTGCCCTTAAAGTCTTTTGAGTAAGGCAGAATGCAATCAATAAAATACTTACATTCTTATTCTTGTGTAGAAAAAGCAGTTAGGAAAAGAGTTTGAATTATTTGCATGAGCATCTTTAATGGCTAAGTCTGTGGAAGCAGAACTTAATTCTTGAAAGTTAGTGACCTTTTTCTTTTTTTAGAAGTAGTACGTGTTTTTCACTCAGATATTTCTACACTTTAAGATTAAAAGAGATGTTCATCTTCTCGAGGACTGTTAGTGCACAATTTCTGTACCACAGGAAAGCACTTAATCTGGTGGGAAATCTTAAGGCAAGATATGTGTCCATCTAAAATGTAAAATATTAATACAGATGCAAAAAAAATGACTTCTGATGTGTTCCAAAGGAGTTATTACATTATTCAGGGGCAAACCTTGCAAGTGGAAAATAAAACTTCAGTCATGGTCATATAAATTTTCATGTAATAAAATCATGGCCTTTTATGCCAGCTAGTATTACTCCTCTGATATCTGTAGAAATGCTTGGCAAACTTGTTCATGATGATTCATTAGCCATCCTGAAAGTTTCAATAAAATGATAATGTATAGAAATCTGACCTAAGCCCCTCCTTGGACTCCATGTCCCTGTCTTAATTGTCCCTCCTCCCTCGTCCTTCTAAAGGTGGTGGGAGAGAACTGTATGCTGTCTGAAGCTGAGGATATTTATGATATCAAGATAGTTAGTCTCTCTGGCTGGAGATGGAAGCTCAGGGATTCCTAGAATGTGTGAAGCCCTGGATTCTTGGCCCCCACCAACAAAAGGAAAAAAAGTTGTTGGCCTGAGAGAAAATTAACATTTCTTTTTTTTCCTCATATAGATTGTCCTTCTACTCAGGCCACTCTTCCTTCTCCATGTACTGCATGGTCTTCGTGGCAGTAAGTATTTGTCTCCTGATGGTTCGGTGTATGTGTCGTGTGGGGGTGGGTGACTGATTGGCAAGTCTCCTGCTGCACTGCTACTCCTTTGCTCTTACGTTGGTCATTTTCTGTATCCTCAGAGCAGGTCACCACTCTGAAGTACTGGATCCCCTCGTGGGGTATGGCCTTACCTGCTTAGTGTGGGTGCAGCAGTCGCGCTTTTTCCTCTTACTGATGTGAAGAAGGGTTGAGCTTTGGTTAATGGAAGTGAAGGCAGCTGTTGCTGCTTCTGTTTGAGCAGATTGTCTGCCTCTCACTTTCTCAAATATTCCCTACACTGCCTTCCATGGGATCAAAGGTTTCCCCTTGTGTGAGTTGCCATCTCTGGAACTTCCAGGTCCAGTTCTGACTGCTCGCCTATGCAGCAGCATGCTGAATTGCATTTGCATTATACCAAGCTAGTAGTGAGGGGACAGAGACATCTGTACCTCCATTTTGCTTATTAAGCTGCAGATGAATATGTAGTTTTCTGCTAGAGTAATGAATAGAAGATCAGGCTTTAGGACACATTCAAGGAATCTTTGAATTTTTATTTTTTAAATGTTCATTTAAATATAAATTACTTGTAAAATTATATTTTACTGTATAGTGTACTGTTACATAGGGGGATCTGTACCCTAACAGACCAGCTTTAACTTCTGTGTCTTAATTTTCTTTATAAGTGGATTTTTACATAGTCATATTCCATGTAAATTTAGATTTCCTGTTTTTTTCATCTGATCACATTAAGTGCTGTATGAATTTTTAAAGGTTGGATTTTAAAAATCCATGATATAGAATACTAAGACTGTTGGGAGTTAGTTTTGTTTCAGAGGGAATTTTAAGTCAACTTTACCTGAATCTTGCTTTTACTTGCAAATTCCCAAAGTGAAAAAACAATGTAAAAATTGCATGTTATATGAAAGTCCAATCCATGAAACCATTACAAACTCACTTTTGGCTTCTCCTACATTTCTGGAAACTGCAAGGCTTTTATCTTATGTTAATTTAATTTTGTGAGGAAGCAAAGAAAGGTACAGATTCACAATTTAGGGCTTCCTTTTTAAAACACACTCAAATGTTTTTGATGTGCCATGGGAAATGTGACTTAAAGGTAATTAATAGCAAATATTTTAATTTCCTCTCACTTACCTTTTTATGGAAACTTAGCAAGAGCCTTTGAAAAAAATAGGGCACTAGAGAAGGAGGCGGCTAGGTAATGATGAGAGACATCAATATCCTGGGAACTTTCTCCACAGCACAAGTTTGTGACTATACTGAATGGCTTTTAAACTGCAGACATGCTTTGTAGGCGCAGAACCAGACCCACAGGGCATCTTTTGTTGTTGTAATTCACTCATCTGTGTTTTCCTTTCCTTATCGCGAGACCCAGGAATCTGTGCTTTTGTTAATACTAATGATTTACACTTTATGGTATTTTTACTTTTGGCTCAAATAATCTCTATAAAGAGGTCAGGGAGTAGGGATTGGGAAGGGCCAGATAAGGTCTGTGAGCTCTGAGGCCACCTTTTGACAATTGGATTCCCTCGCTTTCCTGATTACTTTATCTGAACCTTAACCCAGTTTATTTGAAGGTCAGGTGACGCAGATCTGGCAGGTAACTTTGACCAACTGTGTTTTAATTATAAAGTCTCAGATATACCGTATTTCATCTCTTAGCGCCTTCTGTTCTCTCCTAAAACATCTGCTGCATCTATATATTCCAATAGAAACTTGTTTTGAGCACTCTTTTGTGAAATATGAACCCCAGGTAGACAGGAGGTGTGACTGTTATAGAGGGTCGGAGAGGCAGGCCAGCTCTGGACATGCCAGGGGCTATGAAGAGGGAGCTCAGAAATGTACAAGCAGGGAAAATGACTTAACCATAATTTGCTAAAAGGATCACTGTGAGCCATTTAGATATAAGCTATAATGAGAGAAAAGTCCATATAAATAGGTTTGTTATAGACCAAGGCTTTTCTGAAGAGGAACTCTACTACATCTGACTCTAGGCAGTGGAAATATTTACTTGATTAGGACGTAGGCCCCAGCTTTGATTTCAGACTTGAATAACAGACGTCTCCTTGCTTTCCAGCTTTCCATATTTATATACAATGTTGAACCTCTCGTCTCCAAATTCCTTAGGCAGTGACTCATCTTATTTCCCCAGGCATCTTGGCATCATGGGTCAGTCCCAGATTTGGGTGGAGATGTGTGCAGTCATTTAATTCCTCAAGAATTCCTGACACTACCAAATTAACCTGTAGTTAAAAATGTCTCTTAAAGCAAACACCCTGGCTATTGTGCTTCTACTCTTGACAGGCATCCCAGCCCTGCAAACTCAGTGCCAAGGAGTTGGTACCAGTGAAAAGCACCTGGGCTGGCGGGAGCTTAAGGCACAGCTCCTTTGTACACAGCCAGTTTACATGCATGGTGACATCCCTTAAATTTGGTCAAATGCCAGACTCCAAATTTATGTGATTATTCAGAACAGCCATGCTGTAGGAGTGAGGAATGTACTAAAACACTTTTCTTGGCTGTGTCCTATATTCTTTTCCCTGCCGCAAAATTCCTCCCCAGCCTTACTCCTGTGTTTAGAGTGCCTCTCACCTACCACTTTCTCCTTCACACACTTGGATTCATACAGTTCCTTATTTAGCACTGATCCTGTACCAGCATTGCTAATATTTCAGGAAGACATTTCCTACAGTGTGTACTAAAGCCCAGTATTGGGCAAATGAACTCATTATTCACAGACCACAATCCTGCCTGAGGTGGTAGGATCAAGATGTAAATTTAGAAATTGCATGAGTCCTAAAGATGGTGAAGTTGAAGCCCAGAGAAGAGTGAGACCTACATTACAGTTTATCAGATGTAGGCGGGACAGTCAATTTAGTTTGGTGGGCTTGGTCTTAGAGGCAGTTTTTTCAAAGTAAATTGACTGAGGTATATTTGTGTTGAGCATGCTGTTTGTTTAGTTCAAGGGTCAGCAATTTTTCCCCCCAATAAAATGTCAGGTAACAAAGACTTAAGCTTTGTAGATTGTACATTCTTCCTTTCTAAAAAATAACTTTTGTGTGTGTGAAGAAGACTGAACCCAGGACCTTGTACCATATTAGGCAAGCCTTTTACCACTGAGCTACCTCCAGCCCAGAAATAACTCTTTAAAAATGTGAAAACTGTTTTTAGGTTGCAAGCTTACCCTTTGATTTTTTAAAATGAGAGTAGAAGAAACCCCTTATGTTAAGATGGTAGAGTTAAGGGACTATGAGACAATACACTTTGCAGTTAAGCATTACCAATTTCAACCAAGAAGGAACGAAGTAAACCAGCTTCAAAAAGTATATTGTTCAACAATCAAGATTTTAAGTGAGATGCCTTTAATAGATGCTACGTTTTTCAGAAACTTTAGCTCAAAATTGTTATATATTATCTCTGTTTGAGCTTCTATAATCAATCACTACACCTGGATGGCTTATAAACAACAAAAATACATTCTGCAGATCTGGAATCTGCACGTATAAGCAGCATAGTGGCACGTTCAGATTCTGACCAAGACCCTTTCTGTGGTTGCAAACTGACTCTGCTGTATCTTCACAGGTGAGGAGAGAGCAAGAGTGCTCTCCTGGGTCTCTTACAAGAGCACTGATGTCATTCATGGGGGCTTTGCCCTATGACCCTTATCACTTCTCAGTCCCATCTCCTATAGCATTTCCTTGAGGGTTAAGATTTTAACCTATGGAGTTTGGGGGGGTACCAATATTCAGGCCAAAGTACTACCCTTTAGCAATAGTAAAATAATGTTCATGTAGTGTCATAAATGTTGAATTTTAAAAGTTTTTATGTAAATGAAGCATAAACCTTCTAAATATATTCAAGTGTGGCCCTGTGCAACACAATTCTTCCACTGTTTACTCTGACCAGGTGTTTATGTACTCTGTAGAACTACAGTAGAGCTCTTTGCAGCACCCTAATGTTGATCTACTTAGATAAAGAGGTGCCTGGCTGCTGCTGTTGCAACTGGAATGGCCAGCTCCCTATACCCTCCTCTTTAGGCTTGAATATCTGGTTTTTGGAACAAGTTGACTCTTCTTACTGCCTTAAAGAGTAAGAAATTGTGTGCGTAAATCTCTAGTGATATCCCAGCTAAGCAGCTTTTATTTAGTTCTTTAATATTATTGGAGAGGGCCTGTGTCCGTTCATGAGAGAACACTTGACCTTGCATTGAGCAGTGACATTCCAGGAGAGCCCTACAGAGAGAGCAGTTTATCTTGCTCTTCATGAAGGCAAAAACCATACTTGGAACCTACCTTTTCACAAGAGCCGGTAGTGATACCTGATTTCAGCTGGGGTATTTCTGAAGGCTAGTGGATTTCGAAGGCTCATTCTCAACACTCAGTGATGCTACTTGATTTGCTGAGTTCTTGCTTTGAGTCCCCAAAGTCTCAAGCAAACTCTTATTAGAGAGATGAGGAGAGGCCTAGTGGTGGTTTCCTTCTGTGGCCTTGAGGTTGACTTTTTTATTTGTAGAGATTAAAGTAGGGGAAAGGAGCGTGAATGCTGAAGTATATGCTGTGTCTTTTTCATTGTCTTCTAAATTTGTGTTTTTTGGAAACTTCTCTGTCTCTTTCCAGTTCTAGTCATTTTCCTGTTACAGCACGGGTGACATTGGTGGCAGACTCTGGTGTTCCTTTTATAAACAAGACTGTTAAGACTCTTGAAACTATTTTAGGACAGTGTTCAAATTTGAGAGGGGTAGGGAGTGAAGCAAGGTAGGGAAGGAAGCCTTTTGGGTTTGAGCAGCTAACCAGGGATTATCTCCAACTATTCTTTTCTCAGATCAAGTGCTAGGTTAATTCCTTTCATTTCCCCTTTAAAAATTAGATCACTACTGCAAATCTGTTTAGTGTGGCTTCCTGGACTAGGTCTTCTTTTCTCCTGGCCTCTACCACAGTCAGTGAGGGAGCCTTCCTCTCCGACTTGCATTTGGGTAACCCTAATTACAAAACCACCTGTCATGACTGGATTCCTGCCACTTGTTTGTTTTCCTCGTTTTTCTTGCTGGTCTGCATGGGGCCACACTGATTCTGCCGCAGCAGTCAGAAGACTTTGCCTCCTGGGAGCCCCTCTGCAAAGAACTGCAAGTTACTGCCTTTGTTCTGCCCTTCTGCTGTCCCACTTCAGTGCTTCTCTCACCAGAAAACTTCAAGTTACAGGATCAGTCCCACTGGCCAGAGTGCAAAGAATCTTTCTTGGCACGGACCTGGGGACAGCTGAGGCAAATGAGCAATTTGGCATAGGCCAATACAGTAAGTTTGTACTGCTGGGATTTTTTTTTCTTGCTCTTCGAATTCAGATTTATACACACATCAGCTTCCTTCTCAATGCTTTCTTAGATACCAGGGGTGGAACTCAGGATCTCACACTTGCCAGGCAGTGAGCAACATCCTTGGCCTTTTCTTAAAACTCTAATAATTTGTCTCAGAAATCCAAATTTGAAAAAGAGGGGTTTGGTCATATACGCAGGGTAAGTTAATTGGCTTTGTCTTTTGGTTGTAAACAGCAGATTCCCTTAGACCTTCTGAAAGAGAGAGGCTTATTTATAGTGAAGAAAAGATACTGAATAAACTAGTGCACAACAGGAATTGAACCTTTCTCTGTCTCATGGGCCACTTGAGTTTTCTCAGGATGGCTGCCAGCGATCCCTTCTTTTTAACTAAAAGGCTTATTCTCTTTGTGTAATGGTAGCTTTGGTTTCTTCATAACTTTAGTTTGCAAATAACCTATCATGTACACATCAGGTAGGTGCCCTTTCTACAACTTCTGAAGTAGAGCGTATCTTCATACTTCAGTAGGAGTTCCTGAGAGAAAGCGTAGCCCAGCACAACTCTGAGTGAGGCCTAGTGCATCTGGCCAGTGCTCTCCCAGAAGAGAAGGCAGGGTGACATGGTCCAGATAGGGCTCACCCCTTGTTTGGTCTGTGTAGTCAGGCAGCTCTAGAAGGGGAATTGCAAAGTAACACATTGTTGCACTGCATATTGGACAAGGAATGAAGTTTTTGTTAACTCTTAAAAAGGGAAGCAACTGACTGCCTTTCCCAGAATGGGTTCAGTGTATATATCTTTAAGTAAATGGCATGTACAGGAAAGAGGAAGAGTGGAGTTTGTGAAGACAAAGGACCTAGTGAACCCTGTTACTATTAGGTGACATTAGAACATGTGCTCTGTTCCTGTTTCTTGTTCTAAGAACAGTGCCTAGAAACTTCAGATGTTGGGTTTCCCTGTGGCAGTAAGAAGTCATGTATGCCATGTACTTGCTTTGGCCAAAATCATGGTTATGTGGTGATACTAATAGAACCAGAAACTATGTTTTCTGGCATACAAAATACACCTAAGTAATGCCACTTCTTAGGAGTGATTTTCTTTCTTCTGGGGAGGATGCACCCTTTTGTGTTTAGGATAAAAACAGCAGCCCCAGACTTTCAGTTCCTTGCTCTCAAAGAACAAACCAAAATGTAAAAAAGTGAAAGAATGATAAAGAAGACGATAGGAGGTGAACATTTTGGAAAGTAAGTGGTAGAGAAAGCGAATTCCCCAGTGTCTGCAGAGCATGGGATCTTAAAAGACTTGCACAGCTGAGCCTGAAAACAGGCTTTGGCAGTGAAGCCACCATCACTGTGCTCTGTTGAGGCCACTGAACCTACTCAGTAGGAAACTTTTGGCCTGGGAGGGGAGAAGCTGAAGCCTGGAGTTGTGGGCCTGTCAACTAAAACTCAGGTAAGCTAAGGTTCTAGAAACTGTTTACTTCCTTGGGCTCAAATGAAATGGAAGAACCCTCACAGGAAGAGCAAAGCCTTAGCCTTTCCATGGCTACACTAAGTCCCTGAGCCCAGGAAACACAGTGCACCAGTTAGCAAGCACTCTCAATCAGCCTGTTCTCCCAGAGGTAAACACTGTTCTGTGACCACCAGTGGCTTTCAAGTCATGGGCACTTGTGACCAGAGAAGCCAGAGCCTACAATGTAAGATTAGGAGTAGGAACACAATTAGGAGACCACAACTCCCTTGGGTAACATAATTTCTGGGTCCATCATCAGTGTTTCACTGATGGGGGAAATATTTCGATATTTAAGGAGAAAACCAGTTACTTACAGGGGTAAAGGTTTCACGTAAAATGTCTTGGAACACACCTGATTACAGTTCCGTAGTGAATGTTAATTCTTTTCTCTGGGAACCAACATACCCAATGGAATAATACCCAATGGTTACCTAGAGTCATGCAGGTTTCTTTGGGAGGGCAATATGTGAAGAAAGATTTTAGATGTCTTAAGTGAGGAGAGAACTTTAAATTTTCTCTTTCTTGAGTTACCCTTAGGTTGAAAGTACAAAATGGGACTAAAGTATTGCTTAGGTCTCTGTCTTTATAGTGAGAATACCTTTTGGGATAGGTAAACTTTTTCTTTCTTTTTTGGTTGTGGAGATTGAGCACAGGGCCCTTACACTGAGCTATATCCCTAATCCTTTTAAAATTTGAGACACTTAAGTCTCTTGTATGGCCCATGCCAGGTTCAAACTTACAGTCATCATACCTCAGTGTTCCCGAGTGCTGGAATTACAGGTGTGTACCATTGCACCTAGGTGACACCTGAACTTTTGACAGTAATAACCAAATCTGGCTTCAGGTATAGTTAGGAACCCTTCTCTTTGAAAATGAAGTTTCCAATTACTGCAAAATAAAATTAATCTTGAGACAGGGCTCTTAATCCGACCACCCCCGATACCTTGAAAAAGAAGTAAAAATAAGGGGAAAAGGTGCTGAGAGCCAGTAGTGCTTAAACTAGCTAATGGTCAAGTCTTAAACTGTTATGCTCCTTGAACCAGATATTTATACTGTATTCTTGACAAAATTAGACAAACGCTGAATTTTTGCCAGCTGCTGACAACTGAACACCTACAGCAGCACCCAAAGATCTGGGAGTACACTGTATACATTTTAAATAGGCAGTGTTAATGGACAGAGCAAGGTACATTATTTGGGGAGGACTGCATTTAATTAATGTAAGTAAAGAATTATTGAACAGAATTTTTAAAATGTTAAAATCACATTATTTGTGGATAGAAATTTTGAAAAAAAAATGAGAGTAGATTTACTAAAGAGTTTTTTCTACATCAAAATCTTTAAATACCGATGCACCTAAAGTAAAAATCTGGTAGATATGAGAAAAGGGAAATTGTCACATCTGATTAGTGTACAGAAAAAGGCACAGGTATTGTCTAAAAAACAGATTCCTTTGCTCATTGTGACTATTCCCAACTTTCTTATTTGGGCAGATGATTATATTTATGTATACAGATGATTTAGTTTCAGTTGCCCGCCCCCCTTTTGAGACAGGATCTTGCTATGCAGTTTAGGCTGGCCTTGAATTCGCAGCAATCCTCCTGCCTCAGCCTCCAACATGCTGGGCCTACAGGCATGTGCTGCCATGCTCAGTTGCCCTTTTTAATAAGTCTTGAGGCTAGCAGAGCTCTCAAGTAAATTGGTATTAAGAAAATAATCCCTTGACAGTCTGGACAGAAAACAGAAGCCTGGCCCAGGGTAAAGAGCAAACTCAGAATGCTAACATTTTATCCCAAGACTCAGAACTAATGAGAACATTGCATTTGACCATTAGACTGCAAGGAGAGGATCTACCCTCTAACCACAAGCTACCAGGGCAATACTGTTTAGGCATTAATGAGTACAAGAATGCTTGCCTAAAGTCCTATTCCATGTACAACAGTATTTTGATAGCCTTTCAATGCCAACTCTTTATAGAGGTGTGATCGTACTTTATAAATTACTATTATGTTAAAGTTTTCTTTATTCTTTTCTATTAGCTTTACCTTCAAGCCAGGATGAAGGGAGATTGGGCAAGACTCTTACGCCCTACACTGCAATTTGGTCTTGTTGCTGTATCCATTTATGTGGGCCTTTCTCGAGTTTCTGATTATAAACACCATTGGAGTGATGTGTTGACTGGACTTATTCAAGGAGCTATAGTTGCAATATTAGTTGTAAGTATATAAGGCAGCAGCCTACATTTTGATACTATTAACTATTTGGGTAAGTAGAAAAAACCTCTCAATCCAGGTGTGGTGGAACATGCCTGTAAATGAGGCGGGAGGACTGCTGCACGTTCAAGGCCAGCCTGAACCTTAGAGCACACCCTGAAAGAAAATCTCTAGTGAGAATACTATGAAAAAGTAGAAAATGACTCAGTATTTCCTATTAAGAATGCAAATGTTTACGACAGGTAAAAATCAGGTTACTCTTTGCAAAAGTTGTAAAAGTCCTAGTATTTTTATTGTAAAAGCCTCTGACTATAAACAGTACTTTTGCTATGAATTAAAAAAAATTAACGTGAAGAATAACTCAGTAAGTCTTGGTAGGATGAAGCCAATGGTAAAATGAACAAAGCAACTCTATTTGGAATAATCTCCTTTGAAAATATTCCTGTTAGCCACTAACTTTACATCCTGAATGTGTACCATGCAGTGGATAGCCTCTGTATTTATCTTGGGAAAGTGCTTGTTGGAACTTTGCATGCAGTTTTCAAACTGAATTGTACTGTTTAAATAGTTTGCCCTGTTCTAAATATAGCTTGTTCTATCTAGGCTGTGTATGTATCAGATTTCTTCAAGCAGAGGAATTCTCCTTTTAAAGAAAGAAAAGAGGAGGACTCACATACAACTCTGCATGAAACACCAACGGCAGGAAATCACTACCGGAGCAATCATCAGCCTTAGAGGGTGGTAAGGTGGCAGATGAAGCTGGCCTCCTTTCTAAAGGAAAACAACTACAACTGAAGGCAAGAGGATGTGTCTTTGTACAGGCGCTGATGGGACTGCCGCTGCTGCTACTATACCTCTTGGATGTCCACTTTATCTGTGTAAATAGTTACAGTTAACACAATGCTTATCGAATAACCTGAAGTCCATTAAAAAAATTTCAAGCCTTCCACTAAAACAATGCCCCACCTGTACATTTTTATTAAAAATGTAATGCTTATGTACATATGTGTATGTAATACGCTTTCTTAGAATGATTTAAATATAATACATAATAAAATGTTTGTGGACAACTTTCTTGAGATGGGAGAGCCACATAAACATTTTGAAGCATGTGCAGTCAAATGTAATCAGGTGGTGAATAATTTTAAAGTCTCACATTCCTTAACCTCTTTATAAATACAGGCTGGCAGCAAACACAATATCTCTCTTGATCTTGGTGATTCCTAAGAGAAAAAGAAAATAAGGTTTCAACTTTTAAGATTATATACAAAGCATGTAACTTCTTTTTGCTGAGCGTTTAAAAAAAGATGCACAATAAACCAGATTAAAGTGGTGAGAAAGTAATCTAGAAAACTAGAAGAATTTATCACCATTTAAGAGGTAGAAACAGTACTTTAAAAAAAATAGGGGTCTGGTTTCTATGTTGGGGGGTTTGTGTATCTCAAACTGTTTGAAAAGACATTCTGGTAAGGATTAGGCTATCAAATGAAGTTAACTGATCTAAAAAAACATGGATTTTTACCATACATCACAAGACAATATATTTTTAGTTGCCACACAAAATTCTTACTGGACTAAGGCAAGACAAATATGAATTTCATACCTAGACTTAAAACTGAGTGATTATGTGGAAACATAAATCACTAGCACTGACTGACAGACCAACAAAGTGGGCTGCATTGATTCTTTACTTCATAGTTTGGGCTTAGCCAAGACTCATTATGGAAACGATTTACAAGTGTGCTGTGTTCCCCATGACTACCGCTTTCCTTCATCCGGTCTCCCTGCTTCCACCTTGCTACTCTATGGGTCTGTCCTCAACGCAAAAGCAAGAACTATGCTTATTTTAAAAAATCATGCTGTAGCACAGAACTTCTGTGTTCTAAACCTTCAATCACTGCAGAATAATGGCTGGGGCTGTATCATTTCCCTTCTCCAAAATTCCTCCTTGTACCCTCTGCTCATGCTGCTCTAGGCACACTTACCTCTTGCTGTTGGCTCAACATACCAAGCACATCTAAAGGGCCTCAAATATCATCTTTTTCCTGGAGGCCTCTGGACCACCTTATCTATTCCCCTATTCTCTTTCCTGGAAACCCTCCCCCATCCCAGTTGTAGACTTAGGTATATTTTAGTTACTGCCTTGTTTGTATCTCCCATCCTAGAATAGAAGCAGAGATTTCTTTACGTTTACTGTTGCATCTCTTAGTGCAGTGATGCCAAACCTTTTAGAGCTTTCAGTAATAAACAGGGCTGTGGCATGAGTGCCATAGGTTCACCATCACTGCCCTAGTGAATTAAAAACAATGCCAGGAAAAAAAAAGGGCCAGGGATTTAGCTCAGCGGTTCGGTGGCCTGCCTTGCAAGAGTAAGGACCCGAGTTCAATCCCTGGTACCAAAAAAAAACCCAATGCCAGATAGTATGTGCACAATAAATACATGAAAAGGAGCCTAAATATAGAAATCTCAAGACTTTTCCCAACAGACCCTCTAAAATTATACATAAACTCTACTAGGTAGTCCTCTTGTGTCCTAGGTTGTGTCGATGGCTTAAGTCTCAGAAGATTTTCCTAAATTATTAGAAAAAGCTAATAAACACGATACTGACCTTCAGCAAATTTATTTTCCAGCTCAGTGTTCCCGATGGCTTTTGCAGCCTGACACATCTGTCGAAGCAATTCTTCCAGGCGCCTCATACAACGAATTATGCTGCCTGGAGAAAAAAGGAACAAATCACTTGTAAAACTGATATAATCAAAAACAGTTGAGAGCTGGGCGTGGTGGTGCATGCCTTTAATCCCAGCACTCAGGAGGCTGATGCAGGAGGATCGCTGTGAGTTCCAGACCAGCCTGGGCTACACACAGTGAGTTCCAGGTCAGTCTCAACTACATAGTGAGACCCTGTCTCAACCTCCCCCCCACCAAAAAAAACCCCCAAAAAACCAAACAAACAAAAACACACCAAAAAAAAAAAAAAAAAA